GTGCTGCTGGGAGCACCAGGGCACATGGGCTCAGTGGAGCTGGTGGTTTGGGAGGGAGGAGGAGGAAGTGGTGGAAGCAGCAATGGCGGGTGGGGGGGGGGACACAGTCTGGGGGTGTGCACCTGCACCTGGGTTCCAGAGGAAGCAGAGGACAGCAGACATGTGAAGAAGTGTAGGGTACTGGGGGCGCTTGCCCGCTGCAGACTGGGAGTCCCAGTGGGAGGAGCCCAAGTGGCCGGGCAGGCCCGGTACTGTCAGTGGTGCAGAGTACTGGGTCCCGCACAGACCCGAGGTGCACACAGCAGGGCTACAGTAAGACCATTTCCCTTTTCTCTTTTGTCTGTTCCACAAAATCCACTGAACTTTCAGATGCAAAGTGACTTTTTTTTTTAAGATTTTATTTATTCATTTGACAAAGATCACAAGTAGGCAGAGAGGCAGGCAGAGAGAGAGAGAGAAAGAGAGAGAGAGGGAGAGAGAGAGAGAGGGGGAAAGCAGGCTCCTTGCTGAGCAGAGAGCCTGATGCAGGGCTCGATCCCAGGACCCTGAGATCATGACCTGAGCCGAAGGCAGAGGCCCAACCCATTGAGCCACCCAGGTGCTCCCAAAGTGACTTTTTTTTTGTAGAGATGCTGGTCTTCTGTGGATTGTCGGCTGCCCACCAGGGGCCTCTGCGAGGGCCTCTCCATGGCGCCCACTCGCTGACCCTGGGTGGGGGGAAACAGGAGGCCAGAGGGTCCTTCTGCCTTTGATTAGGGCCGAGTCTGGCAGCCCTGCTTGCCTTAGTCTTTCTTGCTTCGGTTTGGTGACCCCAAAACACCAGTCCCTATTTGGGTGGATAGTCACATAGGGTCCTGGGCGGACGGAGTAACTTCTCCTTGTCTAATTTTTTGCTGCCCCGCCCAGTGCATATCCCTTTCCCAGCAGAGCCAGCAGGGCGGGTCGTAACCCCCTTCACCTGAGGGGTCTGGCTTCCGGCTTTGACAACCATATTCCCGGGTCCACCTGTCCGCAAGGCTAGGCCAGCCTGTTGGGCTCCCTCTGTATGGCGGCAGCTTCTGGAGCATCTGAAGGTTGCTCAGGCACTAGCTCCCACCGATCGCTGGGGGCTAGGGGGTGAGGACGCTAGTGTGGTGGCCACTGGCTCCCCTAGCTGGGGCGGCCGAGTAGCCAGAGTGTCTGGTGGAAACAGGCAACTGCTCCCGAATGAGGGGGTCACAGAGGAGCTCTGGGTAGAGGGCTCTACTGCGCTCAACAGCATGGGAATGGAACGTTCCAGATTGGGGCCGTGGAGCCCTCCCCATCGGGACACGGCTGCAGGGTACAGGTACGCCCGACCAGCCTCCGGAAAAGAATGCCTGCATGGCCAAGTTGGGAGAAGGCCCTTCTTAACTCCCGTTAGCGTCCCTCCTTGGCCTTGACAAGCAGGAAACCGCGCCCACCGCGCAGGGTAGGGTCAAGGTGCGATCTTCTTTTTGGGGGAAAGGATCAAAGGCACGAGTCTGAGAGGGCTCAGCAGGTCTCTGGGCTCAGAATCTGTAAGGAAATGGGTAGCTGCCCGCCTCCAAGCTACCTCTTGGAAGTACAGCCGAAGGCCTTCATCTTTATTAGCGCAGATTTCCGCAAACTCAGAACAAGGTCAGGGTCTGGGAGGTGAGAACGTGGGGAGGGCAGCGGGGAAAAGGAGCTATTCTCTCAGGGCATTTGGCTTCTTCTCTGTAGGCAAGACCCGCGGCTTGACCAGATCGGAGTTTGGGACCAACTTGTTGGAGGCTCTTCAGAACCTACTCAGATGGGGCACTGGGGGCGGGGGGGCGGTTCCCTTCGGTCCCTGTGCTTGAGCGGAGAACACATGCCTGTCCGTCATTCCTTTTTAGCAGGGAGGGGCCGCCAGCCGTTATTTAACAGTACTTAATGTAAGAGTTTTTGAGTTGGTGGAGGGACATGCGACTCGGCTAGGTACAAAAAAGCCAGCGGAGAAGGGCAGGGCCGTGCTGGATGCGCTAGACAGAGGCGGAACAGGTTCACAGGGAACAGGGAGCCCGCATGCACAGCGGAGGCTCTCCCTCTGCGGGCCACCCCGTGCTCTGGGCGCACAGCAGAGAGGATGTGTCTCCCGTCCCAGCCTGCTCTCATGGCCCGGGAGCCGGGGGGCTGACACCCGCTGCCGCTGTGAGGACTGTGGCCATGCTCTCTGGGAGCTAAGGACTTGGCCAGTGGACTTGGGCTTGAGGGCAAGCACGTGAGTCAGCGCGTGGGTTGACCAGAGGGCCGACCGCATCCACAGAGCAGATGGGAGCCTGGGGTTTTAAGAGTCACCGCCCACCGCATGCATCACAGCTGTAGTCAGAAAGCACTAGGAAACATTTCTTATAAAAGTATTTTTTAATAAATTGATGTATTTCAATGTTGTTAACATGATAGCCCAATGCTGTATCAAGGTAGCAAAAGTGAAATTCCTGGTATTTTTTTTTTTTAATATATATAAACACTATGAATGACAGTACATTTGCATTCAACTTCACAAGAAATGATCTTCAGGTTCATGAAGATTCTTTAACAGCTGTAACACCTCTCGAACAGTGAAGATGTGTATGGACTGCGTAGACAAGGCGAGTCTGATGACTGAGCCACACCCCAAGACCAAACGGAAGGGAAGGGTACGCCGCGGAGCGTGGCCAGCTTGCGGAACAAAACCCAAAGGACATACAGCACGGATTGAAACGGCCAAGTATCTTGCAGAAACGGAGCCATAAGAAGACAACACAGACTCGAGCCCTGAAGCAGTGAGTGAGTTTCTACCCGTTTCGTGATGGAGAGAAGCCACGGACACGGAGTCCCGCAGCGCGTGTAGCGAGGACTCTTCTGGCGCGCACGAAGGCGCCCATCGGCGAACCCCGGGCCTCCCTGCTCTGTACAGATGCTGGTGAAGGGGGCTGTGCGCTATTGCTGGGGTCAGAGCGGCGGCTGGCTGGCTGGGGGCAGGCCTCCGGCGGAGCCTCTCTCCGCGCCTCCTCCTGCAGTTCCAGAGGCCACTTTCCAAAGCCGATGCCCCCTTCTTAGGGTTGACAAAACAAACCGACAGACCCAAGCAAGGGCACTGAAAACCAACAGAAACCAGCAGCTCTGACCCCCCCACGGTCTGTCACTGTCCAACCCACCGTGAGAAGGGTGTTTCGCTTGGTTCCCACTACAAAGAGCATCTCTGACTCCGCCACATGTACCCTAATGGACACGGATTTTTCTGAACAGAGATCAGGCTGAGAACAAGGGGCAAGGAAGAGCTGGTTAAGTGCTAGTCCATTAAGTCCAACCGCAACTTTGAACTACAGAGGGGAACTGGTTTAAATGAGTTTCCAAAGTAAAGACGTTTCTTTCTTTTTCAACCTCAAGTACCACTGGATGGCAAGCAATCTCGCACCCAGGATTTCGGCTGCTGACTGCTACTATGAGGTGCGGCCTCAGGTCACTATTTATTTCTACCAGGCCCCTTCACGCTATTTTTCACTCCAAATGCCGCAGATGAAAATAAATACAACAGGACGATGGAGAAATCATTTGTGCGCTGAGGTGCTGGGCTCTGGCTAAGCACTGATGGGATGTCCCTGGCGTTAACCTAGAGGGGTCTAACGGGCGGCCACTCCTTTGCGCGGGTCAGCAGCGCAGACTAAAATCACGTCCATCAGAATGGACCGGAAACAACCGTCACCCACCAGCATATTTAAAAAAATCCCAAGCAAACTGTCTCTGACACTTTCCACTACCCTGGCTTCTGATGCTAGGCCTCTCCTCTGAGGGAACACACACCTGGCCAGTCTTAGTGTTTGATTCTAAATCTCCTTTTGAGGCCTGAACCGAGTCCACTTCTCACAAAGACCACATACTCCTTCCCTCCTTTGGCCGCGTCTCTGAAACGAGAGCTCTGCACCCTCTCAAGAACCGAGGGTAGAATGGCCGAGGCTTTCCTCTCCAGACACGGAACAGTCAGAAGCGTAAATTAGGTTAAGTGGCTTCATTTTCCTCAGGTCAAAGCTTCTAACCCAAGGTTTGGTTTCCCTAGGAACGGCGTGTGCTTCAGTTGATAAAAATGAATCAAAATCAGCTGATGGAAAAGTTAAAAATGTCCTTTACTGAAAGGTACGGATCTTCACAAAGCGCTCTAGCAAACAACCCGATCGAGAAGTTTGCGCGAGCGGAGGTGCCTTTGAAACTAACCGTCTCGATAGAGCTGAAGTCACTGCCTTGGATTAACTTCTATGCCGCATCCAATATTCTATGTAGGACATTCATTCTTAAGGCAGAAAAATTGAATCTGACACGTAATGACTTGGCTCTTACGTCCAGGGGTCAAACGGGAAGTAGCCTGTGCACACGGAGTCCTTGCTAATGAAGGACTCGTCCGCAGCGGCCAAGTTCTCCCTCAGAGCAGGTTCTGTAAGACACACATCTGAGAGAACAGAAAAAGATGACTTTTAAGACACACGAGTATCTTCCAACAAAAAGTCAACGAGACTCGGTTTCCTGTGATGAGGGGACGCGACTCCCATCACGAGCCGCGGCCTCCGACACGCTCGGTCGGGAATGGTAGGTAAGACGGCGGGACGGCGGAGTCGCTCGCTGGACAGTGTTACTTCAGCCCCCGGTTCTCAAGGTCTCATGTAACAGGCGGCCCGACCAGTAAGAAAGCAGCTGCATGTCACCTCATACGGCTACTCAGAAGGCTGTCGCTTGGACCTTCCCACCCTATCATCGCAGCCCGGGGCGGGGAGGGTAGTGGATATACAAAAATGAAGGTGAGGCCCCCAGCACGTGTGCAAAAATACTCCTCAGTGCCCAGCAGGGGTATCTTCAACGAAAACGACCTTAACGACAGAATCAGAGGTGTCTGAGCCGGACGGACACAGGAAGGGGCCCACCTGCTGAGCTGGACCAGTATTTGGGATGCAAGGACACCCCCCTTGCCCCCCCACCTCCCTGGCCTGGATCTGGGGGGACCTGGGGACCGCGCTCCCTTGCGGGGCTGTGAGCCACCGCCCTCAGCCCCGGGTTCTCCTTCCCCTCTGCGTCCCGAACATGGACAAAACCAAACACGAACCTAAAAGACCATTCGTAAGCAGGGGACGGTGACTCTGGCTGCTCCAGGACCTGTTGCGTGCCTGGGGGCCCCGCCACAGCTCTGGCCGATGTTGGGAGGCCACAGAGCTGGCCCGCCTCGCCCGCTGGGGCCGCGAATGCTTCCTTCTTCCACGGTGGCAGGAGTCCATGCACGATTTGTAAACAGCGATACAAAATACTGTAAACATAACTGAACAGAGCTCGTATAAAACAGAAGGAAATCCGAATTTACAAGTGGGTAAAAAAAACCAGAGGGCAGCTTCATACAAAGTTCTCCCTCCTGCGCCGAGTGATTCTTTTGATTACAAATATAATCCTGAGCTGAAAAACTGGGATTGGGGGGGGAGCCATCTTTGCATACAGAATGTCCAGAGGACGCGTGCTCTTGTACTTTTCTCTAGCTGACCGTCCCCTGTCCGAGACAGCTCTGGGGGGGGCTTTGGAGACGCTTAGAGTTTGGTGTGGCGCCCGGGCCTGGGGCCGGCCGCAGCGCTGGCCACGGAGGCGGACGCGGCGGCGTCCTCAGCCTCCTCCAGTTCGTCCTGCAGCTCCTGGCTGACGCTGGACTGCAGAGCCGCAGGCGTGAGCCACTCCTTGGGGAGGCAACTCTGTAGGAAGGGAATGCAGGAGCTGAAGTAGGCCAGTCGGTTGATCCAGCGAGGGATCTCTTTCCCACAGAGGATCTGTGGATGACAAAGGGTGTCGGGTTACGTGAGAAGGATGTCGTGGGCCTGGCCCAGTGCCAGGGAGCAGGGGAGGCAGGGGGTGCCCTGGAAACCTTGCACCCGGGCCTCCGGGGACACATGGCACCTGCCTTGGGAGCCTGGGCCCTCCCGGCAGCCCCATCCCCCCCCTTTCTGCGGAGCCTTGTTCGAGGAGCTCACTTTCTGCATCTCTATCTACTCCGTGGACTTCTGTCCCTGTCCCACTTCTCCCCAGGCACTCGCATCAGCTGAGAAAGCCCATCTCCCCAGACGCAGCCCTGGCTTCGGGAGTCCGGGGCAGGAGCGAGGCCATGCCCAGGACGAGGCCAGAATGCCCAGCTGCCTTTTGTCCGCAGACTCCGCTGGGGGTGGCAGGGGCAGACATGGGGCCAGGAGGGTCCCTCTGGCTGATGGTGTGTGGCTGTCTGCCCACTTCCTGCCCTGACCCTGTCCTTAGAGGACTCCGGAGCCAAAAGCCATTGGCCACCTATCTCAGAGAACGAGAATCGGGTCTTCCACAGCGAACTTTACTCTTTCTTAATGCTCTTGCCTGTCCACAGGCAATGCTGGGCTGACTGAGCCCTTGCCCCCGTTCCCCTGCCCGTCCCCCTGGCGGTTTCGCCTCTAGTCACGTCACAGTCACAGGCTAGGATCCGGACATCTTATCTTAGTTGGTGACTCTGGAAAAGGTGTCAAAGTATCATAGTCCAAAAATCACTAAAATATAAACAAACCAGGACCTGTAATTAAGCAAGGTATTTTTCTCTCTCTAAAGGGGTAGCCTTACCTGACAAACATTACATTTCCCTTACATACGACGTCTCTGACTTAACCACAGGGCAAGTCTCACTTAGGGAAGTGGTGGCATCGTTGTGACCAAATTCGATCACCCGCCAGGCAGCACGGAGAGACAGTACTTCAAGTTATTTGGGAGGGCGCCTGGGTGGCTCGGTTAGTGACGCGGCTGCCTTCAGCACGGGTCATGATCTCGGGGTCCTCGGACCGAGCCCCATGTCAGACTCCCAGCTCAGTGGGGACTGAGTCTGCTTCTCCCTCTCCCTATGCGCCTCTGCTCGTGCTCTTTCAAATAGAATCTTTAGAAAACAGATACATGAGAAATGTGTCTGTGAACTTGATATGGGGGACAGCCGAGGGGTCACCGTACATGGTGCCACTCCCGTCTCTCTACATCAGAAACCCCGGCAGACAAGTTTATGTTGTACTTTAGAGCTGAGATGCGCCGGGGAGGGGCACCCGCACAGCTGCAGGGGAAGCGCGGAGGTGTGGCGGGCACTGTGCGGTTAGCGACAGCCACCGCGGACTATTCCCTTCCTCCGAACTACTTCCCAAGTCCCGATGAGCTACCTTCCTCCCAAGGCCCGGTGGTGTGGCCTGACCAGCTGAAAACGTGGTATGGAGAACGACAGCCTCCTGCTCTGGTAGGTGGATCGTGCTGAGACACGGCCACACCCGTGGGCTGAGTTCTCCGTGGCGGAGTCCAGTCTGTGGCCAGTCCCCCACCCCCCACCCTCTCAGAAGCATGCTGGTCCTCTGCCAAGCCAACGTCTCGACACTTCGAGTCCATCCGTGAGTCATTCAGCATCGTGACTCGAAGTTTGAAAGAGAGGAGGGCCAGTTGTGACACTAAATGCATTACACGTACGCGCGTGTACCTGCTGCGTCCAGATGTAAAACACACTTCTTAGGGTGGGTGGTGGCTTACGGAGCGAAATTACTTCAACCAGTAATTCCCCTTGTAGAAATCCTGCCCACGACACACACTCGCTAGGGGCGAAGAGACAGACGCCCAGGGAGAGCTGGTACAGCGCCGCGTGGAACGGCAGGGGGCTGCCCCTGTCTTCCTCTGGATCTTGCCCCACCGTGTAGGACGGGCACTGTGGGCCTGTCGCCTTCGGCCTTTATTGTGGTGAGGTAGTTCCCGCTCTACCCACTTCGAGAGAAAATTATCGTAAGCAGATGTTGAATTTTGTCAAATGCTTTTCTGGACCTACTGAGATGATCATGATTTTTATTTTTCACTTTAAGGTGGCGTATCACACTGATCTGCAAATGTGGAACCACCTTTGCGTCCCTGGGAAAAGTCCCACCCGATCCTGGTGTAGAATCCTCCTAATGTAGTGTTGGCTCCGGCTTGCTATGTCCTATTGAGGGTTTCTGCATCTCTGTTCATCCAGGATGTTGGCCTGTGATTTTCCTTTCTTGTGGTGTCCTTGTCCGGTTTTGGTATCGGGGTGTTGCTGGCCTCATAAAAGGAGTGTGGAAGTGTTCCCTCCTCTTTCTTTTTTGGGGAAAAGTTGGAGATTAGGTATTAAATCCTTGAATGAAGTTCGGTAGAATTCATCAGTCAAGCTGTCTGGTCTTAGACTTTGGTCTGCTGGGAGGTTTTTGATGCAATCTCCTTAGTAGTAACAGGTCTAGCCAGATTTTCTATTCCTTATAATTCAGCTTCAGAAAATAGCATTTCTAGGAATTTGTCCGTCTTTTCTTGGGTCGTCCAGTCTGTTCACAGCGTTTCTCTTACGAGACGGAGAACTTCTCTCTCCCTTTCGTTGAACCTGAAGTATTGATTTCGGTTATACCCTTTCAGTTCCTGGCCTTAAGCCAGTTAGAACAAATCCCACTAAGCATCAAGGTTCATTTTAGAAAGCCGGGTGGTGCCCACCTTCAGTTTTGGTACGAACCATCTTTACCAGGTCGGACGCATCATTCAGGACCTGAGAGACTCTGGCCAGTAACCCGAAGTCGGCCTGAGAGGTTTTCGGGGCTGAGGCAATGTCATGACAGGGAACACACACCAAAAGTAAAACCCCTGTCTCTGGGAGTGAGCACCAAGGGCCCCGCTCTAGACCGAAGATTACTGTCCCCTCTAAGCTGCTGCCATCATCCACCATCGTGCATGGAAGAGGGGCCTCTGGGAGGCTCGGCCCTGGGGCACAGATTAGTGCGCCAACCAGGGATCTGAGTGCCCCCTCACCTCTCGTGCCTGTGACCCACGACACAGACCTCACCAGTCACCAAATCTGCCAGAGCCTTGACCTTGGACCCCCGGCCTCCAGAATGGTGAGAAACAAAGGTCTGCTGGGGAGAAGCAGCCCGGTCTGCGCTCTTGTGCTCCAGCCACCAAACGCTCGAGAAGACAGGGCTTCTGCCCAAGGGTTTCCGATTGCGCCTGGAAAACCGGCTGAATCTTGGTTTCGGAGGGTCTGCCTAGAGACGGTCGGATCCAAACAGCCGTTTGTCCGCGATGCCAGGTCGTGGGCTTCATGGGCGTGGAAGCCGCGTGCGGCGTCGTTTGCGGCAGGTGTAGGAACAGGGCGGCAGCCCGGTGGGACTCCAAGTCCTCGCAGCGGCTCAGAGAGGCCGAGCGCAGTGTTTTTCTTTAGGACAAGGGAAGGCGCAGTATTGAAAAAGAAAGGTTATTATGGCCGCTCCCCTTCTCTCCTCCTGAGGGGCTGTGGTTTGGGGTTTCTGTTTGTTGTTACGAAATCAGTGTGTGCCGTTCAGCAATCCTAACTTTACTTTTTAAAATTGTCCCTGCTCTCATCCAGCCCCTTTTCTGATCTGAGAAGGATGTGCACAGGAGGGACAAAGAGTTCTTACTGGAAATATCTTTATGTACCTGAACTGGACAGCCATATGATGTTTAGGGATTCGTCAGGATAAAATCCCTAGAGAACAGCCTAGAGAAGATGGGCCTGTGTCTGCGGGAGGAGGGCGGTCTGGCTGCCAGCCCCCAACTGCACCAGTCGTGGCCGGAGCCGCCCTGAAGCACCCCGGGGAAGGGGGGGTACGGGAGCAGCAGGGGCTCACAGTTCTGGTGACGGGTTTTCCCACCACTTGCAGTTTTGGCAAGAATCACCGGTTACAGATCCAATCATTCCCCGTATTGGAAACGCGGAGCCGATGAGCAACTCAACATGCCCAGTCCCAGCAGGAAAAAGCCCTTCCCAGGGGCACCTGCAAGGAAGCCAGGCCGGCCGGTAAGCGTCCCTAACTTTCATGGTGTAGGGGTCCGAGGACAGTGTCCTGACCTGCAATGGTTCCCAGGGACAAGTCCCGTTCCCTGAGCCTCCACCTCTCAGTGTAGCAGGGAGGGTGGCAGACGGCACCGGGTTTCAGTCTATGAGTCAAGCTCAGCCAATTACGATTGTGAGTTCAGGATTTAAAAAAAAAAAAAAAAAAAAAAAGGCCGGGGCATTTCTTCTGGCCGGAGTGAGGTTGAGATGCCTGGAGGCCAGGAAGCTGTGTTTCCAACTTCAAGCAACATGTGAGTATTCCCTAAACCCTTTTCTTAAAACCTGCTACAAAATGCGCACATCAGGCCGGATAGTCAGCAGCCTCGATTTTACATCTGATTTTACAAGAGCTCATTAGTATCTAAAAACTGCTTTTTAATACTTTGAAGTCCCCCCTGGAAATGGTCTCTCTTATGTCATCTCCCTCACAGTCTCCCAGCAGTCACTTAGAGGTGACAGCCACCCGGGGAGATCCCAGCTGGGACAGGGTGAGGGGGGGAGCAGGGATGCGGGCAGCAGTGAGAGAGTCAGTGTGGTGTCCCCCCTGCTCCCCTTCCTACTTGGCTCAGGCCTGGAAACCTTTTAACCACATTCCCTCCCACGAGGAGGAGAGAGCAACACAAAAAGTTTAGCACTTTCGGCCGCCCCCAAACTCAACTTTGGGGATTTGGGGGGTTTTTCTCTTCTTGCCGGGAGGAGAGGACAGATCCGGGCATCACCTGGGCCACACGTGGTCCCCCTGATGTCTGCAGCCTGGCGGAAACAGCTGGGGGATCCAGACGCCGGGTCTCCTGGAGCCGGATCGACCGTTCCCGATCGTGTAGGCTGCTTCCCCTGTGACAACAGATGACAGCCTAGCGGCTCCTCCAGACCCCAGATGAGGGCACAGCGGCCGTGTCACATGAGGCGACTGGACTGGGTGCTTGCTACTGTCTCTGCCAATTCTAACATTTACGGATCCCTATGGGTTCCCGGATGAGGGGACAAGCAGGGTCAAGAAGGATCTGAACCACCTTCTCTCGTTCCCGAAAGGCAACCAGGTCACCTCGACGGTGTCAGCGTGTCTACAAGACTGGTGCTGCCCCTCCGGCTTCCACACCTGGGCAAACCGTCGGGGGTCACGCGAACGTGAAGACACCGACTCTGTGCACCGTGGCGGGACCCTCCGTGCGGCGGGCGCGAGACGCATCCTCCAAGCAGCACAGCGTCCCCAACCAGGGGCCTGTCCGAGAGCCGAGCTGTGGCAGCTGCGAGGGCAGGGGAGAGGGCTGGGGAGCTGGGCACCCATGCACAGGCCACCGAGGCAGCGGCTCCATTTGTTCTGCCCGGGTCCAGCGGGGCCTGGCGCTGCCCCTGCCTCTGGCCGCCCAGAGTCGGCGAACTGGGAAGCTCTTTGAGTGCCCGTTAATCTGCTCGACCTTATTTCCGAATCTTGTGATTTCTTCCCTCCGTTTCCTGTGTCAGGCCCTACGATTCTGAGCTAGCTCCGATCTCCCACTTGGGACTCAAAAACTCCCAAGGCAAGTGCGTGCCCGTGTGTAAGCTGGCGGAACGAAATTTCCAGAGTGGCAACACGAACGACTTATGAACAATTTTCAGAGCTGGGGGGAGAAACGTCGCTCAGGCATTGCTTTCTTTCAAGAGCAAGCTCCAGGCTGTAAGAAAATGAATCGGGAGCCGAGGAGACGATCGATCGTGGGTCATCGGTGCGCCCTCTCCCCGCGGCCGCGTCGTGGTCGGGAGCACGGTCGGAAACTGCGCCCACTCGGAAGCCGCGGACCTCGGGGAGCTCATTCATTCCTACAGGACACGGGGCGCCACGCTCCCCCGACACAAAGGCCTGTGCTTACAGGAGACACACACGTGGCTGCGAAAGCGGACTGTGAGGACGCCGGGGCCGTTTTTTGCTCAAAGGATCTGCGGAGAAAGCGGCACTCACCTCCGACAGCGCCGAGGAGAAGTGATTGCAGTTCTTGTGCATGAGGTGGTAGGCGTTGCCCTTGTACTCCTTGCCCAGCTCCTCCACGATCTTCTCGATGTCGTCCTCCAGGAAGTCCGTGCTCCCTAACACTACAGCTTCTCTTGAAGAAAAAGGAGGAGGAAAGAAACACGATCGTGTGAGTCTTAAGTATTTCTAAAGTATTAAGTATTTCTTAAGGATTTCTAAAGAGCACGTTTAAGGACTGGCTTATTCCCAGGAATACTGTGACTGGCCTAACAAAGCCACAACAAACACAACTACAAGGTCAATGGGATACTTTTCAAAAGTTCTGTGGAGTTTCGACTTTCCTACAATAAACTCCGAGGTGCACTACTTCTGAATCATACAGACTCAAACCTGGTCATTTTCTTGATGGAGCAGTGTGTCGTGTATTAAAAATGCGGCAACACGTTATTTTCCAAAGCCTGTGTATGCCATCAGGTTATCAGAGAACCAGATCCATGTCGCAAATTTTCCCGCTCAATTATGCCAGCCACCAAAGGGCTGGCCACAGTCACGTTCAGAAATTGTCTTTTATGTCATCTGCTTCTGTGCCACCGTGAGAGGAATTAAAACCAACCAATCAACCAACCCCACCAATTAAAAAATAACTGCCCTGCACCTGACTCCCAGCTACCCTGGACTTGCAACAGACGTTATGCAATAGAAAGCAGAATTTTAGTCACATACAAGTTAGGAATCCAAGAAAACTGAAAATACTTAGAAAACCCTTTTATCAGTAGTCCTGTTAAAAGGGAAACCTAACGATGGCATTACAGCCAATCTGTGACCAGCCAAGAAAACCGATGAACTTCATAGTGATAAAAATGTGTAGCCCCTGAGGCGCCTGGGGGGGCTCAGTTGTTAAGCATCTGCTTTTGGCTCAGGTCATGATCCCAGGGTCCTGGGACTGAGTCCTGCATCGGGCTCCCTGCTCAGCGGGGAGCCTGCTTCTCCCTCTCCCACTGCACCTCCCCCTGCTTGTGCTCTCTCTGTCAAATGAATAAATAAAAATCTTAAAAAAAAAAGTGGAGTCCTATCCTGAATTTCAAGGTTACAAGCTCATTTCACCACTTTTTACTTGGCAAATTAACGGTCACAGGCCCAAAAGTTTCTTTAAAGCTCCTTGAACCTAAGGTTCTAAATAGCTCTTCAAATACAAACCTTCATTAAAAAATGGAAATTGGATCATCAAGCATTCAAATTCTCAGTGCTGCTGACTACTCTTAAGGCTCCAGAGTATTCTGGTGTATCCAAACATGTGATATACACACACCTTACTAATAGTTTCTCAGCCAACCAACTGTTTAGTTATTTCAAATGTATAAACAGTGTCCCTTTCATTGGGAAAAACGAAAAGATTAAAAAAAAAATCCTACTGAATGGGGCACCTGGGTAGTCCAGTCGGTTAAGGGTCCTGACTCTTGATTTCAGCTCAGGTTGTGAGATCGAGTCCTGTGTCAGGCTCCACAGTGAGTGAGGAGCCTGCTTGGGATTCTCTGTCCCTTTGCCCCTCTCTGTCCCTGCTTGCACTCTTTCACTCTCTCTTAAACAGGAAAAAAAAAAAAAAAAATCCTGCCCACCATTTCTTTTCTCTTCATGTATTTTTTTTTTAAATTTTAAACTTCATTTGAGTTTAAAATAAACTGTATTTGACACCCAATGTCACATTAGTTTCAGGTGTACGCAGAGTCAACAGCCCCACAAGGGTAGCTACCACCTGAACCATACAGACACCTGTAACTGTCTTCCCTCTCCCCCCGCATGGGAGGTCGAGGCGAAACCATTGCTACATACAAATGTCTTCTAAAGCAGAACCCAAGTCCTACCAGGTAAGAATGTCTTCAAAGTACACAAGGGAACTTACGTGGGTCCTGAACACAAGTAACAGACTAGGTTACGTCAGGCATTTCATAGGGCCGAGTCCCATCTTTATACAACTTCAGATAGATTCGGTTTTAAACCGTCAGCAACTACAACACCGTTAAAGAAACATTTTAACTTCCTAGATTTTCGTCTCCAGAATGAATTCTGTATGCTTGTAAACACGCTTTGGCACCTAAGATAGCATAATAAAAATTATCCTCCCTACTTACTTAAATTTAAATGTTTCTCCTAGTTCAGAAGCATTTCCTGGGGAAATTTCAAATATTCCAGAAAAGGGGTAAGGATGGCCACCATAAGCAAATTCTGAAAAGAGAAAACTCATGATTTTTAGTATTTATCACACAAAACTTAATCAGAAATGCTGTATTAGCTTTAATAAATGATGAAGATAATAATGATACCATCTAAATATTTTGCAGGTTATCAATACTTTCACAAACATCTCATTCCGCTGTTACTCGTACGCAACAGTTGATTCAAAAGGCCTGAAACCACTAACGAAAGACACTTAGAGGTGATCCTGATTTGTCCATGTATCTCGTGTACGCTGGTGAGAGCAGAGTGACTACCACAGGGGAAGGTGGTCTCTCTGCCTAGTGCCTGTGCCCAACCAAGTGGGTGGCCCGTTCCGTGTGTGTCTTTTTCTAAATTAAAGCGGTAAAATGTTAAACTCGCACTTTACCGGAAAAGCTGTCTAATAACAATGATTTTGCACAGCTCCTGGGTTGAAGACTGTTGGTTTACCTTTGAGTAAGAGTGAAACATTAGCAAGCCTGAAAAACTGAATTCCATTCCCCTCATTCAAGAAAAAAAGAAGTTGCCACATTGACACATACACCTACACACACACTCTCCATAGCACATCTCTGAGCCAGGAGGGGACGGCGCGTGCTACAGGCTCATGAGAAATCAGCTCTGACCCAGAACAGAAGCAGACAGTGCTTTCAGATAAGGAAGGAACTAAAATTCCTGGGAGGAGATCGTGGTGGACTTATTTTCAAAATCACAAAGGTTTAAATGAATCTCTTTGCTTACCATTTACTAAATATAATTGTGAAAGGTCAACGAACAAGGCAGACACCAAGTTTCCTTTTGATCCAGACCTTCCAGAGAAAAAGCAAGGACGTGGATAAGAAATAAAGTGCCTGGCATTCAATTTTGAAACAGTCAAAAATGATCTTAACGACGGGATTTTATAAAACACTGTAGATAACCACGTCAAACGTGGAAAGGTAATGTTTGGATTTTTTTTTTTTTTTTTTTACTTCAATTCCAGTAAGAAAAGTCGTCAGCCATTTATTCCAGAAGTATAATTCCGCTTTCAGCAAGATATTGACCTTAGCTTGGCCGAGCCTCCCTGAACATGCTTGGACCACATTTCTAATTATTCCTAAATCCCTTTACGGAGGGGAGCAGTGATTAGACAGGTGCGAGGGTACTGACTAGTAGGCAAGAACACTCGGGTTCAAGTCCCCGTTCTACTGATCAGCAGCGGGACTTTCAGTAGAGCTGAGCTTGGGCTTCTTTGTTTGCAAAACGGAGCAAGTGCCAATTGTCCCATGTCCTTCTCTATGTCACAGAGGCATGGTCATGTGGCTCAGAAATGGATGGCACTTAAAAGACTGGAACACACCACAGAAATTCAGTTAAAAAGCAACACACACAACTTTGGTAGAAGCCAAATCAAACGGGAAATAAACCCACAGCCGACGATGCGGCCCACAGCAACAATCTGACCGCTAACCCTTCGGGCAGGGGAGGATTACTTGGCAGATGCAGCCTTTCCAGTAAGATGGAGCTCACGGGGTGGATCTCCATAGCAAACATTTTCTATGCTACGCCGCAGCCAGGGGCAGCTAATGTGGAGCGTCAGGAGGGGACAGTATCAATGCCCCCGACACACTGGGGTACATGAGCCTTTTTCTCGTGTTCGCGCAAGCTGGTCTGCAACCTCCACGGGTGGCTCCGGGCAGGCTGCCATCACGTGTTCTTGTGGGTCTGGTACAGAGACCGCCTGGCTGAGGCAAATAAAAGACGTTTCTGCTACAGGGTGAGTTTATGATGCAAATAATACGGTCTTACAGCCCTGCTGGAACTGGCAATGTGCTCTGCGTTATGCAGACCGTTACCACTCATGGCTCGGTCTGGAGGAAATTACCCTGCACCAACAGTGGGAATCAGAACCAAGGAAAAAGCTGTTGATAACGAGCTGCTTGGCTTGAGTGGCTCCTGTCATATTTGACAAAGGACCAAGAAGACTAAAAGGGCTGAGTTAATGACAAAGGCCATCATTCCTGAGCAAAAAGCTAGATGTAATCAAGGGTAGGATTTGCTCTCTGATATTTTTAAACTTTGAAATGACACACTTGCAAGTCTATAAAAACACATTTAATACTGAAATTCCCTCAGGAAATTGGTTATTTCAAGTTTGACACTCTAGCACCAACTCCTCTCCAACCGTAATGACTGGTTTTCAACGTGCAGGTTTTCTTAGGAACTCCAGTATCATTGGCACAAGATTGTCATGGTAAGACCATCCCAAAAAGGCAAATATCTTTTAAGACCCTGTATTTGGAATAAAAGATAACTACATGAATGTACGGTCACGTACTTTCTCCCCAAATACATTCAACTTTGGGCATTTTCTCAAAATACAGTGTAAACGAATGTGGAGAGATTTTCTTCTCCTTTCCACAGTAATGTATGGAAGCAGCTGAAAAAAACAGGAAGCGCTACAGACATGAACTGCAAGTCCTTTAAAAGAAAACAAGCTTCAGAAAGTCTACTTAGACTGTGTGTACACATACCTCTGCCATATACTTCAATGCCCGAATGAAAAACGCCAATTCCAATGGACGAGGTGTATTCGTTCATCCAGTACTAGGAAAAAAAGAAGAGATTCAGAATATCTGTCCACTTACCACTTAACTCCCCATGATAGGAAACTACTGCCTCACATCCTTCATGGAACAGTTAGGCCCTTCTGGCTTCATTTCTTAGTATTTTTCCTTCTGGCCCCCAAACTCAACAATAATGGCTCATTTGGTCCTATCTCTGAGCTTCTGCTTGTAAGACATCCCATGTGTGGAATGCCTCCCTGGGTCAAAATGACTGCCTCAAGTTGTAAAGGCTTAGAGCATAAACCATACAGTCTAAACCTGGTCAGGTTGGGGGAAAAAATGGATATAAAAGCTCTCCTGTGATTTAAAAAAAAAAAAAAACACACATAGCATATGCTTTCATATCTATTTTTTTTCTATCTTAAGCCTTCCCTTTCATTCTCTGGTGAGCTCCCCGAGGACTGGGCTATAGTATTTTTTCAAAAACGTTTGAAAAAGACATATAAGACATATATATGGCATGTATGCCCTGATTCAGCTCAAAGTTTGATAACGATAATACAAGGAACAAATAATATGAGGCACAAAGGCTACCACAATCTTACCAGTGACATGCAGTAAACACTCCCAGAAAAGGCGGTATCTCAATTGGGTTTTTAGGAACAAATGAGGTTTCCCCAGGTAGAAAATGTAGGGGGTGTGGTAGAGTGGAAGGGAATGGGGAGAAATGTCTAGAAGGGTAAAGAGGGTGCACCAAGCATCACGATGTGAGTATCTGGGGGTGAACGTGGAGGGGTGCCAGGAGGACTGGAGAGGGTTTACCTAGAAGAAGGCAGTAAATGAATCAACAGCTCATTAAACAAACACTTAGGCAACACTTAACAGTGTTACAAACCCAGCAAGCTTCTTCTAGATTAGAGGATAGGTAATTTGGCTTTAATGTTTCTGGGTTTATTCAAGTCTTAGCCTTGATTCCAGATCCCTAGCCAGTTTCTTCCAGACTTTGGGAAGTGCATGTTTGCATACATTGCTGGAGGAAGCATAAATGGATAAAGTCAATTTATTCTGTCTTAAATGTACCTGGAAGAAAAATTAAGCAATAATCAAGAAATATTTGAAAGAGAACAAGGAACTTTCTCATCTAAATATCAATACACTCATTCACAGGACGGTGCTGCTTTAGAACAGATCCTTGCACGTGTAAGAATCTGGTATCTGATCAGGATGGTGTTTAGGAACAATGTTAAAGTTTAAACTATTAAAAAGGTGTTGACAAAACTCATGCATAAAAATACGTTTCATGTATCTAAAAATTCTGGTGTGTCTAAAAATAATCATAGAGAAGAAAATAGATAAAAAAAATTCTTAGATGGGAAAAGATGACCTAAGTAAAGCAAAACCTAGAATTTTTACAGGAAAACCACAGATATTCAACAAAAACTTCAAATTTCTTATTGTGTAAAACCACATGCACAACATCAAAGGATGAACAACGCACAAGGAGAAAAGATGAGAATGATAGTATGTCTCGCTCTCTATCAGATTCTATTTGGTTCCTGATTTAGGACAGCCTGAATTTGGATGGCAAGTTAGGGATATTATCTGAATTGATTTGATTTTGGGTATTGTAGTGAGGGTACATACAGAAAGGGATTTCTCAAGACTTTATCAAATCTACTTAATTCTACAGTTTAGGCAGCAAAAATTCAGACAGCAAGGGATACCATACACAAAAGCTCCATTAAAATAACTTCTATGGGGCGCCCGGTGGCTCAGTCAGTTAAGCGTCTGCCTTCGGCTCAAGTCATGATCCTGGGGTCCTGGGATTGAGCCCCACATCAGGCTCCTTGATCTCTGGGGAGCCTGCTTTTCCCTTCCCTCCCCACTCAGGTGCTCTATCTCTGTCTCTCTCTCAAATAAATAAAAATCTTAAAATGAACAAACCCATAGACAAGTGAGCAATCATGGAAGAAATTAGTGGCTAACAAACATGAACTAACATTCTCACTAGTAAACAGAAAAATACTAATGAAAACAATAAGCTACCATTCTTTTTTTTAGTCCATCAGACTGGCAAATATAAAAAATATTGCTAAATATTGCTGATGTTGGTAAGGGTGTGAGGAAGCTCCCGCCGAAGTGTGAATCAGTAACAGTTAATCAACCATTATACTTCTTGGGCATCTTATCTACAGAAATACTTGAACATATGCAAAGACATTTTCTGGGATATTAACTGTTGTCTATAATACTGAAAACCGAGAAACAACACAGATATTGGTAATGGAATGGTTAAATAAATTATGGTAAATCTGTATTATGAACTATCATATAGCTACTAAAAGAGTAGCTATGTATAACTCGACACATATGGACATAAAAAGATCCCTAAGACATATAAGGTAAAACACCAATTATGATCCCTTATCTGTCATGTGATCGCATATTTGCAAAATAGATAAATAAATATGTCCTTTGTGTATATTTTGTGCTAAAATGGAAACGTACTACAAAACTGTAGTATTTTACTACACTGACTACAGCAAAAGAAAGTTTGAAGGATATAGACCAAACTGTTAACAGTTTGGGAAAGGGGTGCAGACATAGCAGGGGAGGGAGTAGAGCAGTAGAAAGGACTACTTTCACTTTTATCTGAAATATTTGAAAAAAAAATTACATTTATTGAGGTATAACTGACATACAGTATAATATTGGTTTCAGGTGTAGAATACAGAGATTTGATATCTACATACATTGTGAAATGGTCACCATTATAAGTCTAGTTCCCATCTATCACCTTACAATGTTAATACTATGCTACGGACTATATTCCTGCATGGTACAATACAACCCAACGACTTATTTACTTTATAACTTGGAAGTCAGATCAAAAAAAACATTAAGACCAGTATCAAGGAGCTTATCACTGCCTATGTTTTCTTTGAGGAGTTTTGTAATTTGAGGTCTTACAATCAAGCCTTTAACCCATTTTGAGTTGATTTTGTATCTGGTATAAGACAGTGGTCCAGTTTTATTCGTTTGCATGGAGCTGTCCAGTTTTCTCAACACCATTTGTTAAAGAGATTGTCCTTTCCCTATCCTTTGTTGTAAATCAACTGACCAAAAATACATGGGTTTAAGTCTGTGAGCTCTATTCAGTTCTAATGATGTATGTGTCTTTGTGCCAATACCATACTGTTTGATTACTGTAGCTTTGTAGTATAGTTTGAAATAAGGGAGAGTGGTATCTCTGGTTTTCTCCTTCTTTCTCAAGATTGGTTTGGCTGTTCAGGGTCTTTTGTGGTTTCATACAGATTTTAGAATTATTTCTAGGTCTGTGGACAATGTCACTGGAATTTTAATATGGATTGCACTGAATCTGTAGATTACTTTGGGTAGTATGGACATCTTAATGTTATTAATTCTTTCCGTCTTTGAGGACAAAATCTTGCTATTTCTCCAATTTTTTTCACGAGTGTATTATAGTTTCGAGTGTACAGGTCTTTTACCTCTTTGGTTAAATTTATTCCTGGGTACTTTATTCTTTTTGATGCTATTGTAAATGGGATGTTCTCTTGATTTTTCTTTCTAATACTTCATTAGTGTATTATAAACTGATTTTTATATATTAATTTTGTATCCAGCAACTGGACTGAATTCTAACAGTTTTAAAACAGGTGGAGTTTTCCATATATGGTATCATGTCATCCATAAGTAGTGACAGTTTTGCTTCTTCCTCTCCAATTTGCATACCTTTTATTTCTTTTTCTTGCGTAATTGCTATGGCCAGGAATCCCAACATGATGTTGAGTAAAAGTGGTAAGGGGGGCATCCTGGTTTTGTTCCTGATCTTGGAGAAAAAGGAGAACAATGTTCACTTGGTCTCAAAGTACTGAACCCCACATTTCTCTATATTATAAGGAAAAAAAGGTATCTTTTAAAAAAATTGTATTTATTTATTTGACAGAGAGAGAGAGAGAGACTACAAGTAGGCAGAGAGGCAGGCAGAGAGAGAGGGGGAAGCAGGCTCCCTGCTGAGCAGAGAGCCCCATGTGGGGCTCGATCCCAGGACCCTGAGATCATGACCCAAGCCGAAGGCAGAGGTTTAACCCACTGAGTCACCCAGGCGCCCCAAAAAAAGTATCTATGAAAATATGAAAAAAATATGGTGACTATCACTTTATATAGATGATTAAACACAGTATCACTGACAGCTGGACAAACTGATGTTATGTACCTCCTGATGTGATAAAACAGAAAGGCCACAACATTTCCTTTGTTAGTTTTGTCAGATATGTTTAAAAGAATATAATCATAAGAAAAAAAATCAGTAACTGGACTGTGGGGCTTTCTATAAGAAAAGTAACCTGGTCTCTTAAAGAAATAGTGACATAAAAGTCAAAAGAATGGTGGCTATTCTTTAAAGAAGATGAAAAAAATTATGACAACTAAATGCAATGAAGGAACCTTGACTATTATCTTGTTTTAAATCCCCCTCTCCCTAAGACATTATTAGGGGAAACAGTAATGGAAAATTTCCTGGGTGTGATAACAGTACTGTGGTTAGGCAGAGAATGTCTTATTAGGAAATACATGTTGAAGTATTTAGAGATGAAATGCTGTAACATTTGTGACATTTTCTGCATGGGTGTGAAAGTGACTGTGTGCGTAGGAGAGGGTACGAGAAAGCAAATATAGTTAAAAACTGGTGAATCTAGCAGAAGAGTACACACATTGTACTCTTCTTTCAATTTTTTTTTTAAAGATTTTATTTATTTTTATTTATTTCAGAGAGAGCATAAGCGGGGGAGCTACAGGTAGAGCAGGCAGGAGAAGCAGACCCCCTGCTGAGCAGAGAGCCGATGCGGGAGTGGATCCCAGTAGATCATGAACTGAGCCCAAGGCAGCCGATTAACTGACTGAGTCACCCAACCGTCCCAAGCTTTTTGTTTTGTTTTTTAAGTCATTAACATTTTCAAAATAAAAAGTTAGGGGGAACTGAGGAGAATGATCTAGTTCTCATCTCCTTACAGCAGAAGA